TAAGGCAAAACAATGTTGAAATTTCAGTTTACACGAGATTTAAGGTAAAATGAAAAAAAAAAAAAAAAAAAAAAAAAAAAAAAGCAAAGAGAAAGAAGTCCGATGGAGTACCAGAATAGTGGAATGCACAGGTATCCGAAGTCCACCGGAGGTAAGGATATGGATGTCCGGTTCGGGCAGCTCCTGGAACTCTGGTCTCCGATCCTTGGCGACGGAGTGGGGGTGAATTTGGTAGGGAAGAAGAAGGGCTTCCATGCGGGAGATGGTAAAGAGAGCGAGAGAAAGAGAGGGAGAAAATGGATGGAGGTGGGTCTGGAATGGCACCCATTGGGCGTCGGATATACAAATTTATAAGCGGGGATGGAAAGGGAATTTAGAAATGGAGTGGCGCACGAAAACGAAGACGACGCATCCAGTAAGATAAGATGGGAAACGTGAGGAACACGCGCTCCAAAACGCGCGTAAAAGGAAAGTGGTCGGCCCCATTCGGACTCGGAGAATTGTCCGGGATTCAGATTACAACATATGTAAAATACATGAACTTTGGCGATATACAAAAATCATGTGGGCCCACCAAACGCCTTCCTCCATTTCCTTGCCACCTGTCAATAATTCCAACTTCCTTAACTTTTTCCCCCTCTTTCTAAATTAATAGCATGATCCATTTATATCCCATTTGTTCATTTACATTTTACCTTTAAATTCATTGTCTTATAAGCATTTAAAATCAATTTTGATAATTAAACACCAAATTTACCGTTTAATAATTAAAATAAGAATTTAGAACATAATAATACCAAATCTGATTTGCCTTTTTTCTTTTTTCTTTTTTTAAAGAAAATATTTCCCATAAAAAAAATATTTAAGACTTTAATATTAAAAATAATGGATATAGAATAAAATCAACGGCAATGTCAAACTTGCATAAAAAAATTATGAAAGCTATTACATGTTCCATTGCATGTTCCTTTGAACATAATTATTATGTCTACTCAATTAAAATGTTGAAAATATGGAAAAATTATAATTTTTTTAAATTACACGAACTAAAGTAGTCAGAGTGGTGGATAAAATTAAAATTGATGACGTGGACATAATAGAAAATGCTTAAATAATAATGGTAAAAAAAAAAGATAAAAGAATGAGCTTTTTAAAAATAAAAAATCTAAATTTACATTTTATATCAAAAAGTAATCCATCAAAAGTTTCACCACAACTAAACAACAGCTTACTTGTTCAACATAAAAAAACGTAACATCCAAGCAAGAGCTCTAGAATAATCCACGTAGGCCCTACCTGTAGGAATCTAAACAAATATCTAATTAGGGAAGGGCGATCTTTTTGGTCCTACGTGGAATGGATAAATCAACTCATGCTCATGGGAAAAGGCCATGTAGGCTAAAATGACCTTTGGAGTTCAGAAGAAGCACTTCCATTTCTGTCCTACGTGTAACTTGTTTTAATCGCTTTTCCAGCTCACCCCACCTCACCCACCTATTTTCATCTCAACCGCACAGTACCTTTGCCCATGTGGCATCCCACTTGTCATACAAATGCTTTTCGTGTACTAATAACAACACATACTTTATATGTTCTACTTGCAATAAAAGAATGGAATTTATGGTTCAGGATTGGGACGATGGTTTAGCCATAATGTTGGATATTAAAATAAGATTAATTTGTGTTATGTGGTGGGCTTTTTTCAATATTATAAAAAATTGAACCGTATACGCCATGTTTCAAGATTCAATTAATAAATAAAAAAACAAGAAAATTAAGTGATGATATGCAAAAGAGTTTTATCATATAAAAAATACGGGATTGATTAGGTTAAGATGAAAAGAATTGTTTCTGGAAACGTAGATAAAAGATGCAAGAACTTTCAAGTTTTTTAAGGCTTGAACTCCTTGGTCCTATACTTGATGGTTTACTAGCCAACTCCTTGTGTTCTATGGGCATTTGCTCCCTCCATAAAAAATTCACAAAAACTAGTGTGTGCAGGCTTATGTTGGTCTAAATGCACTTTTGCAAAACTATGTAAACACTAATGACGCGTTTCCTCCTCAATCCAGAAATAAATAGAACAGCATGGTGAAGTATTTTTAGAGGAAGTCGTAGAGTATTTGGATCATGAAAAGGGGTTAACTCCTAAACCATTTCATTTCTTATTCTAAATCAAGGGAGCCACTTTTCCAGTTTCTATTCATGGGATCATTCAATCTCGATCTCGGTTGGGCCATCCTCTTGTACAGATCCTTGGGTGTCAACTTCTTCTGTGATTCCTGCAGATTCCACTGTCTTCTTAACCCATTCCTTCAATGGATCTTCGTTCAGATCAAGCCTTAGAAGCCCAGCAAATAGCCCACCTGCGAACGCAACTGGCTCCTACAACGATTGAAATTACTATCACATTATACGAAGCATTTGATAGTAGAGTGAGTATTTTCATCCAAGGAATTCACATATCCCAGCTGACGAGCCTCATCATCTTAATCTATATAGTCCAGAAGGAACCAACAAAGAATCCTAATGCAACAGTAAGAATTTGAACTGGCAGAGCTTGTTTACTTTATAAATGATGAAAAAACAATAACAAACTCTCAAACATTCAGTCGCAACAACTGATTGGGTCTGCCTCAATTCCATGAAATGTATTCCGCACTGTCCATAGCAGTAAGGAATTTGGAAATCAACCAACATTATATTTCAGATAAGCCTGGTGCCAAATAGTCAGTTCAGCAACATCATGGTGTGAAAGCCAACACACCATGGTGGAGACGACGGATCTCAGCGATGAGATGCCAATAAGGTTCCAGAAAATTTCAGTCTTACCAAGCACCAAAACAAAAATCAGCTTATCACCGCCAAGCCTATTGCTAGCAGATATTGTCCCTTTTGAGCTTCCCCTCAAGTTTTTTAAAACGCGATAGACCCACACCCTTATAGAGAATGTTTCGTTCTCCTCCTCAACCGATGTGGGATCTTACAATCCACCCCGTTCGAGGCCTAGCATCCTCGCTGGCACTCATTCCTTTCTCTAATCGATGTGAGGTCCCCCAATCCACCCCCTTCGGGACCCAGCGTCCTTGTTGGCACACCGCCTCATGTCCATCCCCTTCGGGGCTTAGCCTCCTCACTAGCACATTACCTGATGTTTGTCTCTAATATCATTTGTAACTGCCAAAGCCTCTACCAACTACCAGTTAGTGTCCTCTTTGGGTTTTTCCTTTCGAGCTTTCCCTCAAGATTTTTAGAATACGTCTGTTAGGGAGAGTTTTTTACACCCTTATAAAGAAGGTTTCGTTCTCCTCCTCAACTTATGTAGGATCTCACAAAAGTTTTCCCAAACCCAAACAATACAAAGAGCTTTACTCCCCACCTCCTAAAAGCGAGGAATGTGATTGAAGTTCTCTATTACTAGAGGTTTTCAAGCTATGAACATCATGACACATTTTTCTCAACCTTACAGATCATGAAGACTTTTTTTTTTCTCCTTTGAAGTTAGTTCAAGATTATTACTTGCACATCATACGAGTTGGTTAAAGAATACTTAGGTTATGCAGTCGTGTTCATCAGAGAGATTCAATGGTTAAATTGACTTTCTTTTACCAGTAAATAGATTCCCTACGGCCCTACATAGTAATAATAGTTTCAGCAATGACGACTGGAAAAATCATAGATCCATCTTAACTCGCACTTGAAGAAAAGTGACCATGTTTATGCTCTACTCGAAGAGGAAAGCAATTATCAAAGATAATCTGTGTTTTAAGTGCTATGAGAATACTCAGGGAAATTAATGAACCCCTCCATATTTTGCACATCCTCAGCAAGCATGAATGATCTTAATCCAAGTAGAACAACAGCCAAAACCGAGGAAGGGTTTTTCATGGAAGAGTTAATAGAATACCTTAAGAGCTTCTTTGACAACAGGATCCTCTAAAGGAGTGAAAAGGAAAGCGCAGATGGCATTCGTTGAATTATTGCAGCCGAGACGAAGACAGTTAGCACGCATAGGTTTCTTGGGCGAAAAAATCGAATGACGATTCCCTTCCCTAAATTTCCCCATTCCTCCAAGCTTTCAATAGAATCAAACAGGAAAATCAGCAACATCGAAGAAGAGGAGGAAGAAGCGATTAGAGAAATTAAAAATTAGAGACGGGCATACCAGAACGCAGGCAGTTGAAGAGGAGTGGAGAAGAAGACCGGCCATGGATGAGAGTCTCCGATGACGCTAACGGAGCTGCTTCGGATCGAAGAAGAGGATGAAGATATTGGCGTTAGAAATGAGCTGATGGCTTAAAACTCCCCCTTGTTTGCTTCTTGCAATTGGCCAAACATCTCCAGAAACACTCACTTGGGCTTGTTGCCTTCCTACATTCGGCTTAATTTAACACGGCAACCAGAAAAAACAAACCGACAGATGCAGCTAACAAAATGGATGAAGCGCTGCACATCCGGTCCGGTCCATGTAACAATGTTATATTAATTGGGCTGAAAATGATTCGGGCTTTCAGGTAAAGGCCCATAACTCAAAAAGTTTAAAGCTTCCGAGTAAGCGCAACGATAAAGCTAAAAGATCGAATCATTCATTGACCGCGTAACTTCTCAAGTGAAAATAATAAATGTTTTTTTAATTGCAAAAAACACTGCAACAAGTTAAAATAGTATAATAATTCAGCTTTGTTCTGTGTCTGTATACGAAATAATTCTCTGAGAAATTCGAGAAAAAAAAAATAAAAAAAGAAGTAATGAGAGAGAGAGAGAGCGCGCGCGCGTCCAAAAGCTGAAAGCGTTAGGAAACGGCGAGAAAGCGGCTTCGGCTAGCTTTCAAAGCGATTTGTAATTTCAGATCGGCGATTCTTACACGGTTACACCGCATTGTAGGCCCCACTTTTACAGCCAATTCCCTTTTTCTGTTATTGTAAAAAGTAAAAAAAACCCGGAAGAGTTATGTTTTAAAAAGTGGGAAATTATTTAAGTAATCTTATATTTAATGTAATGCTCTCTCTCCCTCACACACCGAATATTTCCAGAAGCAAAAGAGAGAATCTGTAGTCACACCCCAGAGTGGGATACACAAGCATTTGGGTCTTTGATTTTCATCACACCCAACAAATAACTCACACCTCCACGGACTGCACCCCTTCTCCGCCTTCTTCTTATCCAATTTGTAAGCTCTACCTCTGTTTCTATGCTTGCTTCCTTTCCCTACGATTGTTGTTTTTATCTTTCGGTTTGTAGTTCTAGGCTCATGTTTTCCTGGCCGCCCATTCAATTTGTAGTTACTGGTAGGAAGTAGAAGGATGGGCGGCTCCTTCCCTGAATACCATAATTAGCTCTAATGGGATTTTGTTCTAGTGTGTTTTCACTTGAAGAACTGTAGTAGTGAGTTTAGATTGGCTTCAATTATGTTTTTGCATTTTTTATCAGTGGTTTCTGGTCAAACCCTTTTCCCCTTTCCGATAATTTAGTCTTGTCTATGGCTGACTTGATCTGAAGATCTTGATTTTAGGTTTTGTCAATTGCTGTTTTCATTGTTCCTTGTCTGTGTAAGTTTGGTTGTCTTTCTTGTTTTAGATGGACATGCACATGATACATTTCTCGATCTGTTCCCGTTGATTGCATGCACTTCGGTTTCGTTCTTAATTCACACTCTTGGAGATTTTCCCCCATTGATGCACTCTTCACATATTTGTAACAGTATGCAATGCTTTCTTGATTACTGTTCAGATTAGCCACTTAGTGTTGACACTGTCATTCGCACAGAATGATTAAGGAGTTGACAGTCTATTCCAATTGTTCACTAACATTGCTCTTTTATACTGCTGATTGTAAGACGGACAATTCATTTGCGTCCAGTTTCCAAAATCCAAAAACATGTTGGAGGGTCCATCTTATCTCATCTCGAGGGACTTGCCTAGCTCTTGTGAACAAGAGAGCAAATGGGTTTATTACACTTTTCGTGTGATCGAAATGACACATAAGAAGCATCTCTTAGAAGATAGGGTTGAACCTTTAGCAAAAAAATCATGCAAGTTGCCAGATGATGCTCACAATCGAGGGGAGGATGTACATGAGTTCTTAGTTGACGATCAGGATAAACAGCATTGTGGTGGAGACCAGTCGGATTCAGGTTCGCTGATCCACCAACTTGGTCGGGATATGTCAATAAATTGTCTCCTCCACTGCTCAAGATCAGAATACGGTTCGATTGCCTCTCTAAATCGAGGTTTCCGATCTCTTATTACGAGTGGTGAACTTTATAAACTGCGGAGGCAGATGGGCATCATTGAACATTGGATTTACTTCTCCTGCAGCCTTCTTGAATGGGATGCATACGATCCAAACTCTAACCGTTGGATGCGTCTGCCTATAATGGCATCAAACGAGTGTTTCATGTCTTCAGACAAGGAGTCATTGGCTGTTGGGACTGAACTTTTAGTTTTTGGGAAGGAAACAATTTCCCAAGTTATATATAGATATAGTATTTTAAATAACACATGGTCATCTGGGATGAAAATGAATGCACCCAGGTTTCTTTTTGGTTCTGCTAGTCTTGGTGAAATTGCAATTCTAGCAGGTGGTTGTGACCCACAAGGGAATCTCCTGAACTCAGCTGAGCTTTATAATTCTGAGACAGGAACTTGGGTCACTCTTCCTAGAATGAACAAAGCACGGAAAATGTGCTCAGCAGTATTTCTTGAGGGAAAGTTCTATGTGATTGGTGGAACTGGGGCAGGTAATACCACTCTTACTTGTGGTGAAGAATATGATTTGAAGACTCGGACCTGGCGTGAGATACCTAACATGTATCCTGGACGAAATGCTGGAGATGGGGCTGCTGTGCCGGTTGCTGCTGTTGAGGCACCTCCTTTGGTTGCAGTTATAAACGATAAGTTGTATGCTGCCGATTATGCACATAGGGAGGTTAAAAGATATGACAAGGCAAGACAATTGTGGGTGGCAGTAGGGCGATTGCCCGAGCGTGTGGTCTCAACAAATGGTTGGGGGTTGGCATTCAGGGCTTGTGGAGATCGACTCATCGTCATTGGTGGACCGAGGGCTTTAGGTGGACGTATGATTGAGATATATTCTTGGGCCCCAGATCAAGGGCAGCTGCATTGGGGTGTGCTTGCCAGCAGGCAGTTAGGTAATTTTGTGTATAACTGTGCAGTGATGGGATGCTGAGGCGTCCTGTATTCTAACAACCCTCTGCGGTGTCTGGAGTCATTTCATAAAGGACTTCCTTCATGATCCTCACTTTTCAAGGCAAGCTATCTCTGCCTTCTGCTGCTGTGGAAATTGCGATGATATTTAAACAGATAGAATGAATAGGTCCAATTGAAGAAGGTAGAATCTTTCTCTTGTTTTCTATTTATTGCATTTTCTCTCCCCCTGTTTTTCAATTACTGTGAGATATTCTCAAATGCCCGTATCATTTAGAACAGTCAAAACAAATAATCTGAAGTGCTGATGCATGTTTTTAGGTTGTGTTCACTATGTGCGCTACTTCAATTCGAACTTACTGAATTGTGAAGTGGAATAATTTTGCATAGCTGCCTCTGTTTTACCATGAAAAACACTGAAAACGATGCGAAGAAAAATTAAGAAGGATACAGTGTGCAATGTGTTATCTGTTATCCGTCTCCTTTCTCATAGACAGTAAGTGTGGCATAGCATATGAGAACTGCACACTTTTGGGATTCTACTTTTTGTGATTTTGATTGAAATGATCGGATTAATGAATTCTAGGCATGAAAGGATTGTGATCCAACTGGGTGCCTTTTAAGTGCCAGAATGGGATCCTTTTCAGTGGGGGAGGAGGGGGGGCCTGTGCAACTAGTATCACCATGATCCCATTCCCTTCCCTCATCATATGATATAGATTATGGATATATAAATATATTCCCCGTGGACTTTGTATCCAATATTTTAACCATACGGTGAAAGCTGTTGAAGAAATGCTTTATTGTCATTCCTTGACCCTCGGATACTGAATAGGCAGTAGCCATTGGCCCTCCTACATTACATTACTTATGTGACTGAAATGTTGGCATTGAGTGAGGTGGTTCATTAGCAGCACCGAGGAAGCCAGAAGGAAAAGAAAAAGGAAAACTGGGGTTGCAGTGCAGTTGCACCACTGGGCTGCTCCTGCTCTTCCCCTCCCCCGGTGGACAAAAGGGCGCTCATTAACCCACCACCGCCCTCCCTCTTTCCGACTTTCTAAACTACATGCCCTGGCCCTGGGCCTGGCCCTGGCCCCTCCCTTACCCCTCCCTAGCATGTAGAGATCTCTTTTACACTTTCACCTTCTCTCATTACCCAGTTTTTAAGTATCTTTACGTTAAGAAAGATTTCAATGTCGTTGAAACTCATTTGCAGAAAGTGACTCGAATCAAATCAACTGAGCTAGGTGGGGTGGGGGAGCATAGAGAGAAAAGGAGGGAGAATCTTGTAATTTCATATTTGCTCAACAACTGACAACTGTTGTTGTCTATATATATTATGATAAATTAGTATTCCTTTGCTTATTATTATCATTAATTGTTATTTATATTAAAATAAATAAATAAATAAACGACAAAAGATTTGAAGGTGTTTGCATTACATGAATGGGGGGGGGTTGACTCTAGAGGAGGCCCGTCCCTCTGAGTTCAGTTTGTGGGGTAGCCTACCCTCAAAATTAGGGCAAAACATCCAAAGCCCTTGTTGGATTTACATACAGATCCAATGTAAGTGAAACATGTAATTAAATAATGAATTTTACATTATTGATAATAATGATACACACAGGTTTTGTTGAAGCATGATTTTATTAATAAAAACATTAAAACTATGTTTGCATTGTAAGAATGAAACGAAATATACGCATGCCTAACTATAATAGGCATGGACCAATATGTACATAAATATAGTACTAAATTGGTTTTAGTGTCGTCACATGACCCACAACCAAACAAAATCACAATCACTAAATAAATAAATAAATAAATAAATAAATAATACTGTTTATTCTTTGTTTTTTCATACTATCCCCACCCATTCATTGTTTGTCCTTCAAAAATATTGTGTATTTCTTATTTTCTCGGCTCCATTCCATTTTAAACCATTTAAGAAAAATAGATGTGTTTAGTTGGTTCTTCTCTTTCCAATCTACTTTTTTATTCCTTCTTTTTTTAATCTTAGATGCTCTCTTCCCTACAATAATTTATTACTTTCTTAACTTCTAATGCTTTCCCAGTGGCCATCCAAAGTGGGTAGCAGACTAATGTGTACATAAAAAAGGTACAAGATTGGGTAGGGAAAATATTAATTATACGTACAAACAAACTATCTTAGTATCATCCCTCTATTTTCACTTTAATCATTACAATGGTCGATAATTCGAGAATTAAGGCCAATACTCTCAAGCTATACAGGTACAAGGAGAAAAAGGTGGTGGGAGTAGAGGGGAAGTGACCATTCAAAGGGATAGGATTTGGTTCAAAGATTTGGTATGGGATTTGGGATTTGAAGGAACTCTAATAACCCTTAGCCTAAACCCATCACTTTATGTGCTTCATGCTGCGCCTTTTCTTTTCTGACACTTGGTTTTTTGTACCGTTCTTCAAAACCCACCCCCCCACACACACACACAAATCTGCCCACAAAAAAGCCTCATCATTAATTGAATAAAAACAAAGATGATTAGGGTTTTAAGAGGGTGTGCTCTTGGGCAGACAACATTATAATTAAGAATTATTCACACCAACGTTGTCTGTGTGCTTGTGATGGAAAATGGCTGTTTGATTTGTCGCTGGAATGGGCACATAATTTAAAAGGATTTGAAGGAGGGTAGTTAGTTTTATGAATAAAAATGAGGGGTTGGTTTTGTTTGGTTTGGTTTGGTTTGGTTTGGTTTTTTAGGAGAGGCATGGATCCAAAAGGACCTGTGGGCGGCAGTGGAACGACATAGGGGAAGAAGCTGCGTTGATTTGTCCCAGCAAAACTGAGACCGTGGTGGAAGGGATCTTCTGGTGGAAACGACAGGTGTTGGTTTGTCGTAGGCGGATGGGCTTTGATTGTGGGCATTTCTACTGTTTGTGTGTAAGAGAATGGGCCAGCCCTGATTGCAACTTCTCGAACACACCCTCCCCTTTTTAAGCCTCACTCTTTCCCTCCCTTCTTCCACCCCTTTCTTTTCTTGCTTCACTCATGGCTTCCTCCACATTACGCGACGACCAACTTCGAAATCTTCTCTTCAAGTTGCAAACCTTGCTCCCTCAACTCAACCCTACGCTCCACACCTCCTCAACCGTATATACGTCCACTCTTTTCTTAATTATGATATAGGCGATTTTATTGAGTTTAGCCGTGGTTTAACATACTACAAATGTTTGCAGGTATCATCAGCAGAGATTTTAAAGGAGACGTGTGATTACATAAAGAAATTGCAGAGGGAGGTAGATGATCTAAGTGAGAGGCTATGGAGGCAGCTCGATAACATGGGTGTTGACTTTGAAATGGTTAAACATTTTCTCAATTGAGAATGTTTAGTTAATAATGTTTCAAGTTCTGTTGTTCTTCTCCCTCATTATGTTGGAACTATGAAACTGAGTTTGATGTTTGCATTACCAACCGCCGCCGAGAGAGAAAAGTGGTCGATTCTATGTTCTATCCACATATTTCTATTTCTAGTTTTATGTGCTTTTTCTATATAATAGTGGAGGTGTATCTATTGTAGGCAACAATTTTACCCCTCATTTTTTTTTCAATTAAAAAAAATCATTTAAGTGATAAAAAGGTGGTTAATATTAAAATATTATATATTTTTATATTCGAAATAAATAAAGCATAATTGAAAAAACATTTGAATTGATTGATTATTTAATGTCACTAATTTGTAGGTTTGATCGTGATAGCCTAAAAACTCATAAATATAATGCAACTAACAATTGTCACAGTCTCACATCTTTTCAAGTAAATACAAACAACAATCATCAATATTCAAAACACCAAAGCAATTTATTTTTTTTTTAATTTAAAAAGAAAAAAAAAAAATAGCGTATTGACATGATCCAACTTAATATTGATTTAGTGAAGTGGCATTTCAAATTTCTCAAGAATGACGTGGATATTAGCGACAATGGCCAAGCAGTTGCTCACGTATTCGTTGGACTTTCTCATCCTCATCTTCACCTCCCGAAACGACGTCGAATCCATCTCCTCCAGTCCGTCCAAGCAACTCTCCTGGTACGTCATCGCACTGCTCATCCACGTCTGAATGTTGCCGATCTTACTCTCCGTCAGCGTCTTCTCGCCTGCGCCGGATTCCATTTCTGCTGTAGAGTCATTGACCAGGCTAATTGCGTCTTCGATTTGGCTCTCGCAGTCCTTCAAAGCTTCTCCTCCGCCGTTGCCGTCGCCGTCGGCGGTTAAGGTTTTCAGCGATCGTGACAGATTGGAGAGTTCGTTGAGTGAAACTTGGAGAGAGAGCTTCAAAATTAGTTCGGGATCGGGTTCAGGAGAGGAATTGAGAGAAATTATTGAGGTGAAGCAGGAATTAGGGTAACGAGTTACGTTGCAGACGATGTTGATTGCGTCGGCCGAATTGGGCGAGTTCTTGCCGGTGGAGTTGTAGATGGAGGCTGCGATGATGAATCCGATGAGGAGCGTGGTCAGGACGACGGCGGAAATGGCGATGGTGAGGCGGAGAGATTTGTGGTTGGGGATTTTGAAGTTTGGTTTGGACGGCGGCGGGAGTTGATCTTCGAGTTGGAGTTCGAGGTGAGTCACTTTGCCATAGCCTTTGAGGGCATTGATTTGATCCATGATTTCGGTTTTGAAAGAAAAAATGGAATTGATGCGTGTTTGTTTTGTTGAAATTTGGAGAAATTATGCAATCTGAATCCCTCTGGGAAGGGGAAGGGGAAGGGGAAGGGGAAAGGGTAGCCTAAGTCAAAGTCAAACCCACCGTTTTCATTTATTCCACTACGTGGGATTTGATTTATTTCTATCCATAAATATATGTATATTTAACAAAATTGGAATTCTAACTTCTAAAATCATAGACCCAAATTTATAATTGAATCTTTTATTATATATAATATAAAAAGATAGTTGATTTGTGTTTTTTCGAGGGGGGAAAACATTAAACGGCTTACCAACCTCACCACACCCATTGCTCATTAATTGTTTCTTTATCCTTTCCATTCCATTAATTTTTCAACAATTTTCAATTTTTAAGACAAAAGAATATTAAAATTTAACCCAATTTTTAAAGTTTTTTTTTTTTTAATTTTTTGTTCTTTTTACATATTTTGAATTAATTCCAATAAAAGGGAAGTTGTGAACCACATTAATTTGGCTCCTATGAACCATATAAAAGAATAACTTTTGATAGAACAAGATTCTCTTTTCCCTCTTTATTAAAAGATACAAACTTCTTCCCTAATTAACCAATGAATTAACTAACATTATATTCTCAAACATGTTTATAATGACTGCGTTTAAATTTATAATTTATAAGACAATTTTTATACCAAAATAATAGAATTAAATAGAAACAGGTAATATACATTTTTTTTTTGTCGGTGGTCGGTGGCAAGGGAAAAAAAAAAAAAGAAAGAAAGAAAAAAACCTGAAGTGTGCATTGTGAAGGGTGTTCAGTGCTTTCCTTTTTCATTTTAATATTTAATTTGATTGATTGATGTAATTATACGGGATTCTTTCTTTTTTGGGAAAACTAATTATTCCTTAATTCGTTGAAAGTCAGATCCCAGCTTAATGAATAAAAAGGATGTTAATTTGAAAGAATGAATTAGGGGAGTGTAGTTTGGTTTGTGTAACGCTAATTGGTTATCGGTTTGGAACAGTCAATTCCCTCCACCGTTCAATTGCACCTTCCGTTTCGAAATGGGTTATTTAAAAGTTGTTTAAAGCATGGTTTCCCCCTTAATATACGCCCGGATGCGGCTACCTCCTTATTGCCGGCCTTCTCTTCCCCTTCATTTGTCTTCTTCTCTCTGTTTCCGCTCTTTCCATCTGTTTCTTTCCCCTGCTTATGATTTGGGTTTTCTGGGAACTGCCTTCCGAATATGGCTTCCAATATTGGAATGATGGACAGCGCTTATTTTGTCGGTAGGAATGAGATTTTGACATGGATCAACAATTGTCTTCAGCTCAATCTCTCCCGCATTGAAGAGGTTTTTTTCCTCTCTTTCTCATTCGTTTTGTTCCTTGTGAAATATTTGTTTTGTAATGTCTGAAGTGGGTTTTCTTTTTCTTCGTTCCTCTTGGACAAAGGGAGGCTTCGTTTTCTAATTTCTTCATTTTCTTTCTTTGTGATTATCCATTGTTCATGATGGTATAATGTTCGCATCTGGTGGGTACGCACGTCGTTTTGTAGAAATGCTTGGAAAAACGGAATCAATACCGCGAAACATTTTCTAACAATTGCTTTATTTCAGGATAGTGATTTGGATTTTTGATTGGGAGTAATTTTGTTGTGTTTCCTTTCCTCATGGAAAGAAGGGTCATAATTATCCTTCTGCATTCCACTGATTTTGGACGCAATACATACTCGTATTTGAAGACTGTTTGAAGATCAATTTAGCGATGCGAAATTCATTGAATAGGTCTCTCATCTTGAGAAAATTGTTTTGTTGAGTTACATGCAGCAGGTCATTTGTTTATTATTATGATATTGATTTCATTGCTAGGAAAATCACTGTTAAAGTTTTTCTGTTTATCCTGGTTCTCACTCTGTTATCTTTCCATGGCATCCATTATAAATTGTTGGTATCCCTTTTCCCATGTTTGTCGTTCTGCCTAGGCTGCATCCGGGGCTGTGCAGTGTCAGATGATTGATATGACCTACCCAGGAGCTGTCCCAATGCATAAGGTTACTTAATGACTCTTATATCTAGTTTTATTTATAATTTTCATCTTCTTCAGATTGTGAGAATAATTAATGGCAACTGTATGATACTGACTTTTCTGCCTTGGATGGTATAAAAAGGTCAATTTCGATGCGAAAACTGAATACGATATGATCCAGAATTACAAGGTTCTGCAGGAGGTATTCAATAAATTGAAAATTGAAAAGGTATGTAACCAAATGGTCTGCTTAATCTCCCAGCTCTTAATATGTGAAGTTGGCAGTGTTTGTTTTGGTCGTCGAGGCCTAGATGACGCCGTGCTGGACATATGTTGATATCATTTTTCATTCTTCCTAAGCAGCATACTTGGTGAAATGGATGGTGCCTTACACAACTGTTGTTTTAAAGCCTAATGTCTTGTGATTGATAGTTAGAAGGATGTTCATTCCTTTACATGGTTTACTGAATGCTGATGTTATTTGTGGCAGCACATTGAAGTCAACAGGCTTGTCAAAAGTAGACCTCTGGATAACTTGGAATTCTTGCAATGGCTGAAACGCTACTGTGATTCAGTTAATGGTGGCATAATGAATGAGTATGCTAAATTTATCATTTTTTTCTTTCTGAGTATCAACTATAAACCAGTGCCTTCCTTCGATTTTGTCATCGACTTTTCCTTGGATGTCTTGACAGGAACTATAATCCTGTGGAGAGACGATGTAAGGGTGGAAAGGGTGGACCGACGATGAAGGGTTGCCAGAAGGTTGCTAAATCACTGCAAACAAATAATATGCATAGCCCTGGCTCTGGTGATCCAGTTGAACTAAGTAAGACTTATGCTAAGTAAGGCTTCTGGTAATGAGCCATATATTAAGCTATTTGGTGGCATGTCGATCCAGGATCCAAGCCAGGGAAGAACAGTGCAACGGGCGGGGCAAATTCTTCTGGAGAAATCCAAGCTTTGTCCAAGGAGGTAGGCTGCAAAATAATGTCACTGCTAATTTCTGCGTTGTTCTTTGTTGAAGGACGGCTCTGGCTTTTTGCTTCCCCTTTGTCCTCCAAATTGATGTTATGTAACTATTATTTCGACTCCCCCACTCTTACTAGTTGTTACTCATTATGTTGCCTTTTTCCTTGTGAACAGATTACGGACCTGAAAATGTCCGTAGATGTTTTGGAAAAAGAAAGGGACTTCTACTTTGCAAAATTAAGGGACATAGAAATCTTTTGTCAGATGCCTGAATTAGAAGATCTCCCGGTAAGAGATGCATGGATATATGGAGAAAGGGTGGAGCATGAATGAATACTTTGCCAGACCTCTAACTTTGAAGAGGACATTGAGAATCGTATGGTTGATAATTGTACGGTTGATAATTGTACGTTTGATGCAGATGGCAGCAGCAATCAAGATGATTCTGTACGCAGCAGACGCGAAGGAGTCGGCACTCGCTGAGGCTCAAGAGTACATATACCAATCGAAGAGGACTGACGCTGAAGATGAAAATGAGGAGTGAATTTGTGTGAAGCTTCAAATTGAGCAACAAAAAGCTGGAGCATTGCCAAGCAATCCCTTACCCATCACTCATTTCCATCCATCACTTATGTTCTCTAATGAAATGAAGACTTACAAAATTCCTTGTATGATTGTTAGCTGGACTTCGACCATTGGGCTTTTAATAACAACAGATATGCTCAAACCATTAGCCTGCCTTCAATTCTTTTTATTGTTCGAGAAACTGTCGCAGTCTTAAGATTTATACTAAGTTTGTCCAGCTTTTTGTCGATGCTTATTTGGATGTGCTTTGATATTACTAAACGACCAGAAACAGTACAACACCAGTTTTTTCACAGACCCAAAAGAAGAAAACAAAAACTAGAACAAAAATGGAGAAAACTTTGAGCTTTGTTCGAGTTCCCACTCTTATTGTAGTATGAAATCGCCAATGGAATGGTGGCATCAGTTTCAGTATTCATAGTCCTCTGCATAACCATAATAACTGCTGCTATTTCTCCTGTGCATTTCGGCCTGTAGAAGAAGAAGTAGAAATGCATTAGTTTAGGCAATAGAAGGTGTGTGAATTGGAGGGAGAAGCAGAAAGAAGCACCTAAATCTGACTCACATTGTCAAGCATGTACTGAACTTCTCCACTTCCATGCTGCTGAATGTACTTCTCTGCAGCAGTGATAATGTCATCACGCTGGTTCAAAGGGTCCTTTCCTTTAGGAACATACCAAGGGTTCACTCTTTGCTGGTTCACCACCAGAGGTCTTAAGTAATGCTCGTACACATACGAAGCTCCACTGAAGCAGGGCATTGACAACCAACACAGCAGAACCAGCTTCGCATAGGGCCATATTGGGATCCTGCCACGTCAAACTTTCAGTGAACATGTCAAACTCAAAGCAAGTGAGAAAGCAGAAGCTCCTAAACGCTTACCATTCAAGAACCTTGGCGAAGGTCAGCTCGAAGAGGGTAATCATGGAGTGGAAAACCCAATAAGTAAGCCATTGCTGATCGTCGACTTGAGACTTGGTCTCGATGGCTCTGATCGACGCATATCTGCAAAACAAGGCCAAATCCCAATATTCAAAAAGATTCAAATTCTGAAGGAGAGTGAGAAAGAAACTTACAGGGGATAGAGCAGACCGACAAGGGGCCTGCAAATCAAATCATGCCAATGTATGAATATCTGGGAACATTAAGTAAATAATGAAGCAAGCAAAGAAGAAACAAAGAGAGTATAAAGATACCCAGCAAGAACGTCGAAGTTTTTAAGAACAACTTTAAAGAAACTTCCAGCCCCAGATCCCATCTTCAGGTTAATACATTAATGTCTTCAAAACCCAGAATCCCAAAACGAAAGCATGAAGAGAAAAAGAACTCGTTTCTTTCTTCTTTTTCTTCCTCTAGATCTTAAGCTCAACAAGCGGTGGAGCAGTGTGCGTGTTAAACGAAAAAGCGTAGTCATTGAAAGAAAGAAAGAAAGAAAGAAAGAAAGAAAGAAAGAAAGAAAGCAGAGGAATCAATTCCAAGGATAACTTGGGATCGAAAGTTGGAATCGGTGGAAGGCAAATCAAAAAGGTCTAATTAACAAACTCCAAAGTGTAATCAGATTGTTAAGATATAAGTTAGTTAGGAAAACAAAGAAGGAATTAAGTAAAGGGTGGAGAAGGGTACTGAAACTGAGAGGGAGGTCTGAGGAACACAACAGGGGTTGTCGAGGAGGAAGGTGTGTTATTATATGGAAAATTAGAAATGGGGTTCCTTCAAAGGTGTTGAATCTTCAAAGTAGGATGTGTCCTTGGCTAGGTGAGAGGGGTTGGGAAGAACAAAGCTTGATGGGTTATTATTATTCTTGTTACAACGGAATGACCCACTTCTTCAAAACTCCAACTGATTGGTAAAGGCAAGTGAGAATTGGGGTAAAGGGGAAGGCATTAATGGATGGAGGGAGTGGAAGCAGGGTGGGGACAGAGCCAGGTGAGCGAAACCTGCAAGAGAAAAGGTGTGATCCCACCATTTGCAGAGCAGAGACAGAGCATTTTGAATCATTGATTCAGTAAAAACATGGCAACCAAGGAGAGAGGCTTTGGGTTTGGAGCGATGCTCCCATTTTAACTTGCTCCCTTCAATCATCGTTCACTCTCTTTGAACAGAGCTAAGCTTAAAGTTTTAATCAGTTTTAAGTTTTTAGGTTTATGTGTGGAGATTTTGTATTTGTAGATTCAGAGCACAAGTACATTATGAATTTGTATTTGTTGTGTATTTAAAAGAGAAAATGAAACAATAAATTCAAAAATTGATAGGAATAACATTGTTCTCTCAAGAGAATTCATAGGTCTCACTCACCTCACGTCGTCTCAACCATATACCAAGAAATTAGTAGAGCCAAAGGCATAGGCATACATCCGTAGCCAACAATTAAGGGCACCACGGTGTTTCATCCATTATGAGACACTGTTGTCCGGAGCCGCCCCATGCGCCCTATTTTGGCCGCCGTAGATATTCAGATGTCCATCGTTCATGCTTCCACCGCTGCCACTGGGACCCAATGGCTTTCCGGGGAGAAGCGTCAATGGAGCAGCCAGATTCGAGAAACGAACACTACCGGAGGCTTGTCCTCTGTATAAAGCGTTGTCTTGGTTGGCCGGTGGAAGCCTCCATAGAGAGTCACCTCCGCCGCTGAGTAATTGGTTGTTGCCATCGGAGAACATCCAAAAGTTGGCCGGAATAGTCGTCGGGAGTAGCCCTGTGGTGGATTGCTGCACGTAGCTCCGCTGCGGGTCAGGCAAGTGATCTTCTTTTGCATGCGCCATTGGACCCATATTCATTGGTTGAGAGTTGAACGCCACCACTAAACATCATCAATCAAATTTCATTCTTTTTTTATTTTTTATTTTTACCATTATTTACATTTTATAAATACTTGAAACTTAAATATTTAGATTTGACTAAAAAGATCGAATGTTTCATTAAAAAAGATGAAACCCCATTATAATGTAAAGAAATTGGAAGAAAATAATTACAAATATTTTTAAAAATGGTTATAAAAAATTAAAACTTTGAAACTTTTTTATTACACCAAAAACATCCAAACTGTTGTTAATCCAATTGCAAGATTGTTGAAACGGGAAAGATAAGAAATTTTATAAACAGATTTAAAATGAAAGCTTCGAAGTGTTGTCGCACACTAAAACAGCCTACCTCCGGGGTGATAGTAAGATGAGGATCTTAGTTGAGATGGTAAGGAAATGCTGGTGGCCGATCTTCTTAAGGAGGTATTGAGGGAGTTAAAGTTGGCCGGAATTGTGCCGGTGCCAGTGGCAGCGATAACGGCAGGCTCGGCCTGTTGAAGAAGCCACTCGATGGTTTCGCCGTCGGACTTGTGGCCGAGCTCACGGGTGAGCTGGAAAACTCTAGCAGCACAAAGCGCAGGCATCCGGGTACGGCGGCCGCGGCCATCGACTTTGGTGTGGCGGTCTTTGGTGGAGGCCCTCTTGGGCGAGGGCCTCTTAGACGACTCGGGAGGCGGCTGGGGATCGTATTCCTTCTTCTCCAACAATTGGAGAGGAAACGAAGCAGGCGGACGATGATGATAGTGAATTTGGTCGCTTCCTTCCATCACTCCAATGATCTGATCTTAACTGGCTATGGATCTGTGGTGGGTCTCAATAATGTAGCGAAGCAGAGGAGAAACTAAAATAAATGGGTTTAAGATGTTTGGTTTTGGAATGGGGAGTAGTATGCACACACACATATATAATGCTACGAAAAACTATGAAGAAGAATGGAGTGAATTATAGGGTTGCTATTATTGTGGGTTCTACAGCCCCCATCGCCTCAGAGCCCACGTGAAATGGGGCTTTTTATGATGTAATTTACAAAGACAATGGGTGGCCAACGCTCATAACTTTCAACGTCTATCTACGTAAGCATGTCTAATTGACGCATGTACTTTTCTCGTTGAGGTCAGAGTGTTTCCAAGTCTTTATTACTCTCATCCAAGGTATCGAGAATCCTTAAGTCCCTTGCTCTTCCACACTTATCCAAATGCTAATTGGCTACTCTTTTCTCTGCAAACTCTAAATACAAATTTTGAAGTCATAATAGACAGAACCTAGTTGATATATAAAGTGGATTCAGGTTTTACTTCAAAAATTTGTCAATAAAAGGGAAAAGGCTGCTCCATTCAAAAGGGCTGTCCCTCTTTTGCTTCCTCTCTTCCTCTTTCAAACTTTAATTCACCAAGACTCATAGGTAGGGTTCATTTTTTCCCTTTTTACAATCATCTTCAATGTAATTTTTTTCTTCTATTTCATTGCATTTGAACACATGATCTGTGTTTATGTTAACAACTGACAAGAAAACTAACCAACAACACTCATAAAGAGCGAGAGATAAGATAACGAGACGTAGTAATGAAAAGAACATTGATATGGTAGGAAGAAGCTAAGTGGAAGTAGAATAATAAGAAATGTTGATGATATCTTGAGGCCTAGAAGGAGGATGGGTTTTGTTTCTCAATCTTAATTGAAGGTAGTCCTGGTAGAGGAAGCCTCTGTATTTTGGTGGCTCATCAATGTCCGTACTGAAATGTGGCAATGGCTCCACCCACTTATCTCCTCCAATGTTGTAGAAAAATGCAAAAGAGTGACGCTCTCTCCCTGCCTGCCTCACCACCCTGTGGCCCGCGCTCTTATACCTATCGTTGCTCAATACCTTCCAGCGACAAACATGATTCAAAATTCAAATTCCACACGTCGCCAACAAAATATAAAGCTGCATTTACCTGAACGACATCTCCGACGTTGACGATGAGCGTGGTTCGGTCGGGAGTTATTGGAATCCATTGATCGACGTCGGCTTTTAGCTCAAGGCCTCCAACTTCATCTTGGAACACAAAGGTGATGCAATTCACATCCTTATGTTCCCTAACACCAATATTTTCAACCTCGCTTGCACAAGGGTATCTGAATGTCGACATTAAATCCCACTTCCTGTTTGTTAATTAATCATTAAACCCACACTAAACTTAATTAATTAAGATTATCATAGCTTAATGACAAGTTTGAATTTCAAATTCAACTCACCTGTCGTTGTTGTATTCACCAAGGAAATTTGGCGGAAGGCCTAAGCAATCGTTTATGATGCTTTCTACAATTGAAGCTGTGTTCACAAAGCTTGAGAACAACTCCTTCAGGACGCAGCTGCAATACACATGGTCAAAAAACAGTACCCGACGTGGATTCTAAACATCAAAATTTGAATTCTGGAACTTGAAAGAAGGCAAGAAGTTGAAGAAAAACCTGAAGCCTTGAGGATTGGAGGGGAAGACATTGAAGGTTGAATCAGGAGGAAACATGAGAAAGAATTCATTTTTATCAGGAGAATGGGGGGGCTGGCGGCCATAGCCGGCCGGCAGAGGAGCGCCGGGCTGAGGGCTGGCCTCAAGCTTACGATCCGAAGGGTATCCAAAAAACTCCTTCGATCCCCCAAGTGCTTTCGCCATAAGCTCAACGGGAACGCCATGGTTCACCACCTGAAAAAAACCCAAGTCGGAGCAAGCTTTTCCAATTATCTCAATTGCCTTCTTCTTTCCACCTTCATCTCCTTCTTCTGTGAAAAATGGAGAGAGATCGGCTGTGGGGATTCCTGAGTTGACCATTTTAGTTCTAACTTGTTATTGTTTGAGGGATTTTCATTTAATTTGAAAGGATTTGATGGATGGGGTTCTTTTGCATCAAAATATTTTTAAAACCTCAACTTCTTGGCTGCTTTGATGCAACCAAAATTTATGCAGGCTTGTTCATATGATATTTGTATAATTATAGGACACTTGCTTAGCAATTAGTTGAGTAAATTTATAATTTTTATGATACTATTATTCTCTGACCCTTCTCTTTGTCATTATCTTCGTGTTTTCTAATCTTTAATTTGTTCGTTTGCCTTTTATTCTCGAGTTTTCTAATATATTTATACTTTGAATTTTCGATGGAGATTCATCGTTACTACGATTGAGAGTTGGAGAATACATATAATGCACATCAAATTACTTTCATACCAATTTCTCTATCTTATCGTTCTCTCTGAATACGTAGAGGAGAGTTAACCTAGATAAGAGGCAGATAGATAGACTATTTGAGCAAAGGATTATTGCTAGCACTGCATTAAAAGATTTGTTTAATGGATTGACGAAAAAAAAAAAACTTGGAAGCAAAATTGTGCATGGAAGAGCACTTAATACTTGCTCTGGCTCTGGTTCAGGAACAGCAGCCATGGCAAGAACAGAACCAAAAGTCACCTTAGCAGTGAAGCTTTGGTAGGTATGACAAAAATACAATTAATAACATATGGTATTAAGGGGGAATCCAAATAACTTTACACACCAAAATAGTTTCTCCAATGTTAGCATTAGAACGAAGCATAAGATTAAAACCATAATATCCTCAACAATCTATATATTAGAGAGTAATTAAGGAAACGCGGATGAAGGAAACGAAAGGGATCTTAAGGAGAAAGTAGGGTCGAGTTGAAATGCCTGACCAACTGAACTTACAGACCATTACCCACTGGAAGAAGGCTACCACAAGAAACGATCAACATTCTCCTTTACCACCTGATACTTGAGCAACTATTACAGAAACGACCCAAGTGGAGAGATGCAGCAAACTTCACTAGTCGTCTAGTCATCATCTTCGTCATCACCTGCGTCATTCTCATCGTCTTGGTTGTCATCGTCCTCTTCAGAGTCATCCTCTTCCTTTCCCTGCAAAGAAGCAATAGCAAAACATAAATTATAATCTACACGCAAAAGATTACAGAACAGCCATTTAGTGAACTATGAGAGAACAGCCAAGTATAACGAATTAGCTGCCTTAATCAGGAGTTTAGAAAAGGCCCGTAAAACTATTTGTCTTCACCTCTTCATTAGATTCTTCTTCCTCTAATTCATCTTCATCAGCCTCCTGTATCACAGTACAATAACCGTCAGAGAAAATAGCCATGTGTGCTGAGAAGAGGAAAACCAATGAAGCAGATAGAATCATACATTATTGAAGTAGGATAAAGGGTTAGGCCATAAGTCCTCCTTGATAATTTCTGCAACCTGCAATCCAAAGAGGATTTCAGAACATAGCATTTATTTTAAAGTGAAAGGCAGTCATCACAAAGATTATAGTATTCCTCTTTTTGGAATTGGGAAAAATTGTGTATGTATGTGTGTTTTGGTCAGCGCCTGCCTCTGAGAGATGCAAACGCCATATTCAAAAAAAGAACTTTTTGTGGGGGTGATGATCTCAATATGCACAATATTTTCATCTTACCTCATCATGAAAGTCATCAATATCTTTCTGTTCTGTATCGCTAAACCAGCTAAAAAAGCTGCACCCAAAACAGGAAAAAGTGTACTACTAGTGAGGTCATGTAAAAAAAAAAAAAAAAAGGTTCCAGGCATTTTCTTCATTTCATGCACAGGAGGTATGTCACTTGGAAATGCATTCTTCAATAATAATAATATAGCTGAGTAAACGATATCAGAGAATTGAGCAACAAAAACTTTTCGACATTTTCCTTCCATGTTGAAGCTTTTCAATACAAATTACTTCAAAAGATTAAAAAATCCTTTTCCACAGAAAAGTAAATTCCAGCACAATTTCTCCAGATCAGTACAGCCAAATTTCAGTGGTCAGAAAATAAGAAAGTAAACTATAGCCAATCAACCAATCAGACTGATGTATCATCCAACTAAAAGGCTTCCTTTTCCCCATCATGAGATGTTTCTAATTGTCACGATCTTGTAGAATTAAAAATGTGAAATAAACTTCCGATCTATGTCTTTACTTGATTTGAAACCTTAGTATTGAGGTACTAGAAAAAGACTTGTGGTATACACTTGATAAACCGCTTCATTTTTCAGAGCTTAAAACTCTCTGGCCATTTGCCTTTTTATTATCAACTCAAATCCTTGAATCTCTTGATGACCATTGAATCTAAAGTCAGGTAAACTGAATGATAGCTGTTTCCTCATAAATTAAAATATGACTTCGTATGACAAACAAACTAGCATAAAATAGATAGGACAGTGACGGTGCTTTCACAAATAACCACAATTTTTTTCTTTAAAAAAAAATGGTGATTGTTGATAAACAGGTTTTAACAACCAACCTTTCCTCAACCGGAGGCCGTTTGTTCCCTTTCTTCTCATGGTTAAACCCATTAGGTATGCCCTTCAGATATGTAGAGTACAGCAAACAGTTAGTGAAAATAATTGGACTAACTACTACAAGTACTTATCCGGGAAAAAAACCCTCACCATTCCCTCTTTCCATTTTATCGATGTAGCATTAACTTTCCTTGTTCCTTCATCAAGAAAGGTGAAGGTCTTCGTCAGCTTTGTCTCTTCAAAATAAGGGTTGGTGTTGAAGTTCTGTAGAATCAAAGAAACAAAAGAAATACTCGTAAAGATGTTCATTGATTGAAAATTTGTAAAAGAATATAAGGAACCAAGTGCAAGAAATCACTATAAGAAAAAATATAAGCAAAATATAGGAACAGAACATGAAAGGGGCAAGCTAAAGGAATGATCAAACTCACAAAAGTAATTGAGTAACCCGATTTGACATCTTTGAAATCTTCCACTTCCAGGGAGGTGAGGTGTTTGAATATCTAACAAAGACAAAGCAACAAACAACATTTCAAAGGTCATTTAGACACGAGGTACTATAACAAAATTATGGGGCTCCAAATCAGTTTCACCATTAAAATTAAGCATTTTGCTTGCATTCCTATTTCCAACTTTGAAAACTCAAAACAAATTAAATAAAAAAAAAGAGTCAAGCCAAACCTTCTGGTCCTCTTCAGTCAAAAGTTCACAAAGAGCAGGATGACTCAAGAACTGCACGATGAGGAAGAAACAGTTATTTTTTTCTAAAGGAAACAAAGAGAGTGTAACAGTTATAAAACTCTTCAGCATGACAACAAGTTCATAATCACTTCAAAGAAGTCATGTTTGAGAGGATAATACTAACAGCCGTTAACCAAAAGTCAGGAATTGATTTGATGATCTCATTCCGCTTATCGTAGACAGGTTTTCGTACTTCATTATACTTCTGCTCCACTTCCAAGACTTTGTCACTGGCCTCCTCATTGATCTTGAAGATCAAACCAAATGAACAACATGATTATAAAATAGTAGTTATTTCAAACTTAATGGAAAATTTTAATTAATTGTAAAATATACATGAATCTTAATCTAGTTGTGACACTGTGACTGTATAATTAAGTATGCACCCTATCAATAAGATACCAGCATTCTGCAGTATTAGAAGTTAAAAGGCATGTACAGGGACTGGAAAAACAGGAAAACACAACCATAGGTTACAACCACGACTTTAGGGTTGCAGGTGTAATTCAAGATGAACATTTATCGCAATTCATTTTGTTTAATTGTTAGGGAACCTGCAGAAAAGGTTTTAAGTCATAACACGCACAATGAACAAAACCACTCAACCATAAGATGTATAAGAACGAACAATCAGAATTCCCAAGAGCAGGCAAAAGGAATTGAACGTCGGCATTGACGTTCTTCAGCGAACCTATAAAAAGACTCAAGCTTTGGGTATCAAATTGAAGTATAATTAGAAGACGTGCCCCGACCAATTGAGTTAGATACAAGGCACAAACTCAACTGAGCACAAAAAAAAAAAACAAGATAGTTCACAAGCTAGGCTTCTCGCTTCGCTTCATTGTCCTCCTCGTAAACATTAAACACAAGGGTCGCCAAAAGAAAATACCAGATGGAACGATATAGAGAGCATATAGGAATCGAATCAGTACCTTCTCGAGCTCGTCTTGAATTTCCTGCAACTTCTCGATGGATATTACGAGTTTCTCATCGATGACCTCCGAATTGTCGTCTTCGCCCTTTTCAGAGAGCTTAGCCTTCTTGCCCTTATCAGCAACCATCTTGTTCGGCAAAAACCGGTAAAACCCACTGTCTAAAACCCTGGGACTGGTCCTGGTGCTCTCTTCGCTGGGGACTGAGATTATTGTCAATAAGAGATAATACACATTAGGGTTTTGGGAGCTTAAATCTGCTCCGATTACAGAATCTCGGGTCCAGTACGTTCACCAATCAACTTCTGCCAGGAAATCATATGTACCACTAAATCAACGAATTTGTGTTGACCGATGCTTCACAATTCCCTCCATTCTTATTCTTAGCCAATACAATTATGTCATAATTTAATCCCTTAAATCTCTTGAATATTGGAGTGATTTGTTTTTTAAAAAGTAAAAATAATGAAAATGGTATTATATTTTTACCTTTTTAAAAAAAAAAAAAATACAAACGTTGTTGAGTAGATCCAACTCACGGGTATAGCTAACATCAATCTAAATGTAGGATAAGCGTACCTACGAATGAGACTTGCACAAGAAATAATGTTTAAATGATTACAAATTTTAAGTACGCGCGAGGTGAGTATAATATTTATACGTGCATCTGGGTGTGAGGAGAGCCTCGTTATTTACTAGAATGGATAAGTTAACACTTTATACTTGCTAGCATTTGTATCTTCGGGTATCATGTGATATCCCTTTTGTGGAGCAGCAGTGTCTTCAGCATTGCTGGGTCATCTTAGTTCTTGGCAAGCTGCCTAGTGTCACAATCTTTCTCTTGTGACAACGCAACTTCGATTATGTCATATTTGTTATAACCCGGCGAATACGTTAGCACAGTAAATGTCAAACTACAAAATATAGTATATTTTGGGGAGACACCTTCGTATTGGCATGGCAAGAATAGTAAAGAACTAACTACATACGAAAAATAAGTAAAGGGAGTTTGGAACGAATATGCAGTCATTGGCAACACACTATATACAAGCATGATCGAGACATTCAATACGTGACTACAGAAAACAAGGATGAGACGATCAGACAACCCAATAAAATCGTATTGAGCTTTCCAAGAGCCCACATTCATTTTCATTCCAACTACACAAATAATTGCATGAAGTTATTAAAGAAACATGGATTGATTGATGTGTAATTATATAAATGGAAATTTAAAGATGAAGGGGAAAGAGAGGAAGAGGCCTCAACATCCCTCCATTCTAAATGGCTCAAATGAAGCCACTAATCACTATCTACCGTTCTTTTTAGCTTTCAGATGTGGTATTAATCCAACCTCCAATTTGTGTCCTTCACAACATTCCTTCCCTGG